CACCACAACTTGAGACCATTGCTCCTTGTTCTGCCATCTGTCACTACTGAGAACAGCCTCTCTCCATCCTCTTTGGAACCTTTCTTCAGGAAGTTGAAGGCTGCTATCAAACCCCCCTCACTCTTCTCTTCTGCAGACTAAACAGACCCAGATCCCTCAGTCTCTCCTCATAGGTCATGCGCTCCAGCCCCCTAATCATTTTGGTTGCCCCCCGCTGGACCCTCTCCAATGTGTCCACGTCCTTTCTATAGTGAGGGGCCCAGAACTGGACACAATATTCCGGATGTGGCCTCACCAAAGCTGAATAAAGAGGAATAATCAATTCTCTTGGAGCTGCTGGCAATGCTCCTCCTAATGCCCCCTAATATGACATTTGCCTTCTTGGCTACAATGGCGCCCTGTTGACTCATCTCCAGTTTTCCATCCACTAATTCCCAGGTCCTTTTTTCTGAGCCTTGTGCCCATAGTGCAGGGCAGCCGGCACCGGGGTGCTGCTTGGGAAGAGCCAGCCAAGCCTCTGAGTCTTGTGGCTGAACACGCGATGTTTTCACTAACTGGGATTATTGCAGCTGTGCCTAAAGCCCAGGTGAGATCGGGCCCGCGGTGCCAGGTGCTGTTCAGACTGAGCGGCAGACAGGTCCTGCCCCAAGCTACTTAGCCTGCAAGTGGGCTAACCCGGCACTAATGTAATTGAATTCAAGGGCGTGAGGGTCACAGGGGTCACCCAAGAGAGCCACCAAGGCACAGCTAAAGGCCCCTCTCTCACCCGCATCCACAATCGCTGCAAAGCGCAGGTACCAACGCCAGGCCTGGGTGTCTACATGCACATTCCCTGCGGAGGTCGGCAGCCTGGGGCTCCGCACCAGGAGAGAAACCGGTTTGTCTCAGCAAGCGCTGTTATCTAGCTGCCTGCCTGGGCGGTGAGGACTCATGAAAGACCCCCATTTACAGCCTGGGAAAACACTAAGCCAGTGATCGCAGCGTCTCCCGGGGAGACCCCGGGCAGGGAAACACTTGCACATGGGGTCAGCCTGTGGGCGAGTGCGGCCAATGGACTGTCACTAAAGAAACTCCACAGCAGAGGGACGCACCGGGCTGGCCTGAACTAGGCTTCCAGGGCTCAGGCTGCAGGGCAGATATGCAGGCCCCGGCAGGGGATTTAGGAAAACTGGAAGGGGCAGGATCCAGAGGAGAATGGCTGGAGGGAGTCCAGGCAACAGGCTGTGTCTACACTGAACAGCGGCAGCACTTTGAACCGGAAGTGTGGCCACGGTGCGAGAGCGGGGCGAGAGCGCTGTGTGTAAACCACCTCTGCTAAGGGAGCAGCTAAGAGGGGAGGAAGGGAGGGTGTGTGTGTGCGCGTGTGCGTGCGCGCATTCAAATAATCCCCCCTGCTATTAAAATGGGGCAGGGAGGTTGAGGCTCTTACTGACATTTGGACACTAGGGATGTAAAATCCCATTTAATTGATTAACCAGTTAAACATTGTTTAACCAGTTAACCAATTAAAGGGGGGATCGGGGAGAGACTGCTGCAGCCCAGTGTGGCTGGGGGGGGCCCCCCCCCCCCCCCCCCCGACAAATGCTCTGGTTGGAGCAGCCCCTACCTGTAGCGCGTCACCCGGGTCGGGCCTGCCATGGACAGGGGCTACTCCAGATGGGTAGAGCAGCCCCTGCCTATAGTGGGCTCTGTGGGGCTGGAGCAGCCCTCTGCCTGGGACAGGTGGGGACTGCTCTAGGCCTCACCATTTAACCCTTCACATCCCTCCTGGAGCCACAAGCTACTAGTTCCTAGGGCCCTTCAATGATCACAGGAAGGGAGGCTCTGTAGCTAACGTTTCATCTGAGAAAGCGCACCCCTAGCTGTACGGAGTGGCCATCCCTCCCTGCTGATCTGCACACTGGAGCCTGCTGCGGCTGGGCTCCTCCTTGGAGGTTGGCCTTGGAGAACGGGCAGGACAGAAGCTAGAGGCTTCCCGATCAGTGACTGTGCTAGTTTACCTTCAGACTCTTGGAAATCTGCGCGTCAGAACGAACCAACTAATGTCACAGAGGGGAAGCTTCCCAAGCACTTAATGGCTAGAAACGTCTGCAGGCTCTGAAGGGTTAACACTCACTTCTGACACGGGTGATCCTCTGTCCGGGGCAAAGTTGGGTCCTGGGAAACGTCGGCGATGATTTGTGTCAACTCGCTGCAATGAAAACAGACCTGTTCTAAGAATCAGACTGAGGCGCTGTCGTAAGGGCAGCCAGGTGCATGATAATCATCCTGCTCCACCCATGGGTCCTGGGTCAAGACCACACCTTCCGGCTGCACTACAGCAAGCGTACAGGAAAGACATGCAGGCCTGACTTAAAGGCTCTAAGTGATGCAAATCCACCTGGGCCTTAGGCTAGTTGTCCCAATGGTTAATTACCTTCCTTACAAAATATGCATTTTATTTCTAGTCTGATTTTGTCTAGCTTCAGTCGCCAGTCATTGGGTGCTGTTATAAGAGCTCTCTGTCCCCTTTAAGGGCAATTGCACCTATATCCCCCTCCACAGCGTGGCACCAACTCGCAGGTTCCTGGACATTGCTTTTCTTGGTATCTCCCCCTCCTGTGCAGGGTATTTCCAAGCCCAGCACATCCCCACCGTCCCCCTACCTTCCGCAGACAGCCAGGCCTGCTTGCTTCCTGCAGAAACTGAGAACGGTGCAAGTGCCAGGTGGTTAAGTGACCCACACAGCACTTCCTAAGGAAGCCTTGTGTAGTCACAAGGTGAAAGCACTACAGAGAAAACATGACAACTACACAAGAACCAACACAGTAACAAGCAGACCAGCAACCTCCTATCCATATGTGCCATGGATTCTGGCCTGGGACTGCTTCAAAGCTGCGAAAGGGATCTCTTTTGCAGTAACAACTCAGAACTAACGACTAACAACCTCAGCTCAGAAGTAACACCCAGTGCTCTCTAAGCTAGTCCTTCCAGCCCCTCCCTAACAACAAGAGCTCCCCATGGCCCAGGAAGATCCCCCCCCATTTAAAACAAGGCTATTTACCCCCAAATCCTTTATCTGTTGACCCATGCAGAATCCAGGCTGAACTAGTGTATGCGCACCTCTGCGGGGGCTGGCTTCAAAGCCCTGCTAACCGCAGGAATGACATTAGCATCCCCACAGCTACTGCCAGTCTCCACGTGACAGACAACTGCATTTTTAACTCTGTTGACCCATGCAGAATCCAGGCTGAACTAGTGTATGCGCACCTCTGCGGGGGCTGGCTTCAAAGCGCTGCTAACCGCAGGAGTGACATTAGCATCCCCACAGCTACGGCCAGTCTCCACAAGACAGACAACTGTGTTTTTAACACAACACACCCCACAGGTGTTAAACATAGCATACCAGAAGGTTTGTCCAGGATACTGCTACCTCCCTCACACTGCATCAGAAATCTCTTCCCTACGTAGGGACTCTCAGAACGCACTACCTCTTAACCATCTCTTGGACAGGCTAGAACGGCTGCTTGAGTCTCTCCCAAGAAAGCTGGTTTTCCACCCCTGGGATCTGGCCTGTAGCTTGTTTTCTGAACTGACCTTTCCCCCTTTGATAAATAACGAGGCACAGCTTTGATCCCTTTCACTCGGGGATCTCCGAGTGCTTCTCCACAGATCCGCTGACAGATGGGGCTGCCCCCATTTAATACAGGGAGAAAACCTGAATTAAGAGGTGAAGGGACCAGCCTAACATTACAGCATGGCGACTCTAGAGAGAATCCAAGAGTCCTGACACTCCTTCCCCGGCTCTAACTGTCAGACCGCACTCGCACCCAGAGCCACAAATAGCTCCCAGCCCCATTTCTAACAACTACCCCACGCTCACTCCCAAAGCCAAGACTGAAGGTGAGAACACCCTTTATCATTTAGCCCATTAATTTTCAGTCCCATGCTTCCTTGGTTTACCAGGAGTAATCGTAACACAATTCTTACACCGTATTAATGAGGCTAATTAATAAATTCATTTAGTCTGTCTTCCTTTTACATCTTTTCTTGTTAACATTTGTTATAAATTAGCACATTTTATAAACCTTTATTCACTGTCCCGGTTATGCCTACAACTGGGATAGGCCTACTAGCCCCGGTTACAGTGCCAGCCTCAGCTGTGATCACTATACCACACTCTCCCACGAGAGGTGTGTTTAGTCAAAGCTATTTGGTAATAGGTGGGGAGGAAGGGAGAGTCAGCAGCAGCTCAGAATTGCCCCAGACTTTGTTCAGCACCAGTTAATATAGGTCATCTCATACTCACTCCACTTCATGCGTGATCTTATTGACATAGATGCAACTGTTGTCAGCTTCCTGCTGGTAATCACAGTTTCGACACTGGGGATAGGATGGGGATTTCCAAGTAGAAGTTGCTACCTTAGTACAATACGTTCAGTCTCGCTAATAAAACCTCCTCACACAAGAAATCCAGGGCTAGGTCTTCACAGCACTGTTAGCCCAGAGCACTATACTTGACCTAGCTCAGGGCAAGCAAGCCACAAGCTACCCACGTTCTGGGTCCTCACGGTGTCTGCAGTCACCAGTGTGTGTCTGGGACAGACCCCAGGGTTCATCACGCTGGGATGCTCTTGGATTCTTTCCTAGTCAATTGCATGAACTGCAGGAGAACCAGTGTGTCCTTCACAGGAGAATTATGGGAAGGGCACTGGAAGACTATCAGCAGGTTCCAACCCAAGTGAAAGCAGAGCCCAGCTCTAGCATCCCCTCTCCAGCCAGGCCAGTTAGCCTGGACTAAACACATTTCCAGACCTAGGTCAGAGGTTTTTCTGCATAGATGATAAGGGAAAGTTGGGGCTAAAGACTGGGGAAGAGCCCAGGAGAACAATGACAATATATCCGTGGTGACAGGAAATCTCTAGTTAAACTTCTATTTTAAATGTAACCCTGAAACTGCGGCAAAACAGAAAGCATGGCATTTTAGCTCACACCTATGTGGAGAAGGGAGTGTCCTAGTTTGATTCCTTATTCCTGCACAGACAGACGCTGGGACAGAAGAACAAAGAGCACAATGCCTCAATCTAGTGTTGCTGTTGACAGCATGAGGTTCACTACCTATCTGGCTACTCCTAACACACCCACTGCTGTGATAGCTGGATACCCATATCAGAGGGGAAAGCTATCCTCAGCCAGAAGGAAAAGGGGGCAGGGAATTGTAAAATGAAGAGGAAGAGCCAGTAAGAATCAGAAAAAACATCTCCCCAAATATATACCATTTCCTGATAGTTGTTTAATGAGCCCCAATTAACCCTTATATGCTCAGTCCTGGAAGGGAAGCATGGGATTCATTCCCATAGCATGCTCCAGCTGACAACAAACCCCATGAGTGCGTCTGACGTTAAACCCTGGGATCTTTTAAAGTGGTTCCCCCCACCGAGCAGCTAAGACAAGCCAAGATCAGCCTTTGCCTCAGTTTATTGAAAGGGAGAGGAGGCTAACAGCTGAGTCAGTCTGAAATTGGGTCAACTCTGCTACAGTCAATGAGCTCAGAGCAGGGCTGAATTTGGCCTTGGTCATTTGAAACTTACCGCATAGAGCAGGATTCTGTTTTCCTTGTCTTCCTTGGGGTACAGCATGTTGTTGCTATTACAGATACAAAGGACAGCAATAAGGAGAGAAGTCCCTGCAGATGATAGATTTCCCTAGTTTTTTATATTAGGCCCTGGGAGGCAAAAATCCCCTCCCTATTTTTACTGCAGCTACAATATGGGTTTGTTATTGTAGGGTGCCTTGTGGGTTGTAGGACAGTGCACCCTGGCTTGTTTCTATTGATTCTCTTACCAGGCTACACACACTCAGGTTTAAACAATGAGAAGTCCTGTGGCACCTTATAGACTAACAGATTTATTGGAGCATAAGCACAGACCCACTTCGTCAGTTGCAGGGGGTCTTTGTCCATGAAAGCTGATGCTCCAATAAATCTGTTAGTCTATAAGATGCCACAGGACTTCTCGTTGTTTATGCAGATTCATATTAACACGGCTACCCCTGCGATACCTGACACTCAGGTATGTGATCACAGGGCCTGGCACACTAGGAGCAGGTCACCGCAGAGTCAAGGAACCAAGTTACCTCGGAGGGTCTCTTGCTCCCAGCCACAAGGGCAAAACCCTCCTTCGGCTCAGGGAGAAAGCAAGCCCGGAATGCTCCTGGACCAGGCCCTGCACCTGGCCCCTGCCACCTCCCCCGAGGTGCTGAGCTCCCACCTGAGCGGGGAGCGACCAGAGGGGGCCCGGGCGCCTGCGGGAGATGGGG